AAAAAAAGAACATGAATTAATGCCTCTTCAATGTAAAATACAGAATTACAAGCATTTTCAACTGACAAATAAATTTTTTATTTGAGCTTTATTACATGGAGATCACATTGAAAAATATATAAATCCCAAATAATTGGTGTGATATGGAAATGGTATTGAGCAATCAACGTCAATCCCATCCAAACATGAAAATTTTGTATGCTTGAACGATTCAGCGTTTTCCTTCCCTCCAAGTAAAGCAACAAATCTTAGATAAAACTACGAGGGTACCATGCAATGCACGAACTAGTGTTAAAAGATGATCATGCTTTTGTTTTATAAGGGGGTGGTCACAGGTTTCGTAATAAAAAGGAAACCAAATAGGTTGTGAATAGCCCATTTTTTAATACTCTTGGGTTCAGATGAAGAGAACACTATGTGTTCGTGTCTCACAATCCATAAGGTCGATGTAAACTAAACCAAGTATTTGCTTCTCACCTGGGATGGGATGGTTAAGCATTACTTCACATCTTCAGAAGTGGAATCTTCCAACTCTCACTCATTGAATTTGAAGCATTGGTAATTGAGAGAATAAATCAATTTATTGGAAACCAAAATTGAATGGTTGGGATGGTTAAGACCATGGTTTTTAAAAATGACCTGGAGACCAAACCGGTCAGGGGTCTGGTTATTGGATTGAATGGTCTGATTGTTTGAATTGAATAGTCAATCTGTTTTGACAAAAAAAAAGGGTCAAAACTATTCAAACGGTTCGAACAATTAACTGCCTGGGTCAGTGGTTTGATGACCAAAATCAATAATTGTGGACAAATTTTTGGTTTTAAGGAAAATAAAAATCGATCACTTGACTGATTTCCAATTTTTCCGGTCCGATCATCCGACCGGTCCGGTTTTGGAAACCATGGTTAAAACCTTGTTTTATCACTCACGTTGTTAATTTCAATTAATCTATATCCAAAGAGGTCATATTGATTTTTACCACACTGTGGGATGATCTATTATATTATCCACGTGTCATTGATATGGATCTGATACAACAAAAAGACATACACCATGTGTTTTTTTAATCTAATGCTAACTTTCATTAAATAATGCTTAGATTATAAGAAACCGACACATAGACTGAACAACTACCAGGACACTAAAAGTAACATAAAGGCATAAGAAAAAACTATAAAACTAAGATAAAATAAAAGACAACTTAAATTAAGGCTCCGCTCGAGGGAGTGTCCTCTTGCAAGGCATCTAAAAATGGTGCATGATGTCAAGAAGTGCCATCAAATGAATGTAAAAGCCTAAGGCTGCGTTTGGAAACGATGAAAATAAGTATGAATGCAAATATATAGAGTGTAGAACGGTTCATATAAATTATAAAATTGGGTTAGTTTTGTATTGATAAATTTAACTTCTTACCAAACAGATTTTTATTTATAATTGATGCAAACATGAATTCCAATAAAGCGTATGTTTTTTTTAAAGCCCACTTGAATGCAAATTTACTTATTCTTTTAATAATGTACTTTTACATCTTAAGGCTGAGTTTGGAAGGAGTACAAATGCAAATATGTAAAGTGCAAAACCTTATAATTTATATTGTTTTGTATGTATTTACGCTCTACATATTTGCATTTGTACTCCTTTCAAACTGAACCTTAGGCTCTGTTTGTTGGCGATACAAACGCCAAACCGGTGTATTTATGTACCCCTGTTCGCGTTTGCGAGCATTTGTTTGAAACGTAAAAAAAAACAATGATTATAAAAGAAAAAATGTATTTTTTGACACTTTTGTACTATGGTAAGATCACATTAATGTATCTATTTTTTGGATATAATTTTGTGTTATTTTGATAATTAACTTTTTGACCAAAGTTAATGCATTTGAGCATTTAATGATAATTCCACACTTTTGCACCGGTTTCAAACAAATAAGATGAATGCAAAAAACAATTTAAAATGCAAATTGTATTTGCATTCATGAACTGAAAAATGGGTAAATATATAGTGTACATATTTGCATATGCATTACAACCAAACACAACCTTATAAATATGCATTGGTCTATCATTTGTCAATAATCAGTACATAAATATAATATTACCAAATACAGTCGAAAATAAACCAAAATATAAATTTACCGAGAATCGAAATTTACACTCCTTTTGCATCGTTGATTCGTTTCGAAACTCAGCCTTAAGAGAAATATCATTTCAAGCGAAGAACTCCCTAACCAATGAAAAACTGAACACAACATTAACATTTAACTACCCTCACAAAATCGCATGAACGATAGACAAACGACATACCAATGACACTTTTGGCTCATAAAAGCAATAATAGATGTGAGAAAATTAAAATTGAAAGAGGTGAGAAAAGCTTAAAAATGCCAAACTGTCTGGGTACTTGTCCACTCATTGACAGTTCAGAGAGAATATTCTTATTGGGATAGGTGCCACTTGGAATATTCATGACGTTTTCCAAGCAAGCAAACTTCTCCCTTAATTTCTTCGTTGCAAGTTTTGTGTACCATATTGCTAGTTTTTCCTATACAATTCCACTTGAGGGATTATACTAATTGAAGCATTTTCAGAATATTTTTATCTTTCTCAATTAGTTGATTATTTTAGAGGTTCAACTTTAGTGGTCCAAGTTTATGATCATTGTTGAAACCTCTCGAAGTGTGTGGTAATTATAATCATTTCCAGGAACCATGTCTAACAAGCATGGTTTTTAAAAATGATTCGGAGACCGAACCGGCCAGGGGTTCGGTTATTGGGTTGAACAGTTTGACCGTTTAAATTAAACGGTTGGCCATTTTGATAAAAAAATAAATAAACAAATAAAATAAAAAGGTTAAAACTATTCAAATGGTTCGAACGATTAATCACCTGTATCAGTGGTTTGTTGACCAAAATTAATGGTTTTGGACAAAATTTCGATTTTGGGGAAAATCGAAACTGATCACCTGACCGATTCCCAGTTTTCCTCCAGTTTTGAAAACCATGCTAACAAAAGGGATGAAAAATGTCTAAAATACCTATGCAATTATTTTTTTTCTGTTTATCTTCTATCATTTTCTCTTTATATCAATCGTCGCTCCAAACCCTTTCAATTCCTTCTTTAAATTTGATTTTCCAAAATCACCTTTGCTTAATGATAAAGTTACAACTTTAAACTCTCATTTTTTTCTATGTATAAAGTAGCCTCTGTAGTAATTTTGGACATTTTCATACTCTTATTAGGAAATTCTAACAAAAGGGGTCTACTTGCAACTGCATCAAAGAGTTGAGAAGAGGTGAAATGGTTTAAGTAATATACTATAAAAAATGATGACATCAACATAAATAAAATTCAATAAATGTGGAGTTTGGAATAAAAGAAGCACGTTAAAGCAGTTTCTTTGCTAAAAATAGAAAAGATATATGAAATCAGAGAGAGTACATGGGTCACTAATGAGATTAGAGTCATTAGACTTTTTAATGGATCGGATTTGAAATTAACCCAATTTAATTCGATAACATAGTGGTCCCATTAGTAATGGCAAAAAATGCCGAAAACCAATTCATTTTTTGATTCCCAAATCCAAATTTGTCGAATTGGAACCAGCCTAGATCTTACAACTGGGAAATCATGGTCCTCCCTGACATTTAACCCGCTAAATTAGTCTGTTGGGATTTACTGCCAACAAAATACATTCCTAACACCCTACCCACATTATATGATACTACACATCTCATACACAACAGGTTTCAAGACCCATAACGGGTTTTAAGACAGGTTTTAAGACCCATAGTGGGTTTTAAGATGGGTAGGAATTTACATCGGCACCTCATAGAACATTCTGATCGTGTATTGGAAACATTTCTCACCGACAATTATACTTGAACACAAAATTAACTCAGCCCAATACATAATAGATTAGTTGGACCTTTACTTCATATGGGCTATGTTAACAAACCTGATCAAAGCTGTTGAACCTCTATATGGGCCATGAGGCCCATGCTCCCACGAAGAGAGACAGAGAGGTGGCACAATGCAATATGGATTTCTACCCACAAAAATCCTACTCACACCTACTCATAGGATACCACAGCTATTCATTGAGAATATCTACCCATAAATGACGACATGTAAATAGGGACATATTCTCAATGTACAGCTATAGTGTCATGTGACTGGGTGTGGGTCAGATTTGTTCCTCACACATGGCGCCTCACAATGATCTTATGGACACATCCCATTGTGCATTGACAACATTTTCCATAATTATGTGTTATTATTTGGAGAAAAATGACTGTTTAATCTATCGTCAAAATTCTTAGCCCCACCATATAGTTGGGGTAGGTGTCAATTCGGAATTGATGCCAATTTACAAGCAGGTATTGGTATTTAGGATGGGGGTGTTTAATATTTTTGAATTGTTGTAGGCATAGTTTTTAAAATCGATTTGGAGACCGAGCCCGTATCGGGTCCTGTTCTGAAAAAATAAAAAAATAAAAAAAATAAAAAATGATCAAAACGGTCGAACGGTTAACCACCCGGGTCAGCAGTTTGCTGACCAAAATCAACGATTTTTTGAGAAATCCCGATTTTGGAGAAGAACGGAACTGGTCACCTGACTACTTCCCGGTTTTTCCGATTCGATTGTGCGGTCCGGTCCAGTTTTGAAACCATGATTGTAAGTATATAATGGAAGTCAAAATTATGAAGTGGGCTACAGTGTGATTTTCCGTATTATTTACGTGAGATATTCCCTGCACAGTCACACAAGGCGCCTTACAACGACCTCACACATCCCATTAAAAGCAGTACTGTTTTTGTAGAAAACCCTGACTGGCCTGCACGATGCCATTAGAAGCATTCAGTGAACCGCTGTCGGGTTATCGGGCTCGGGCTGGCACTTATAACGGGCACGTAGGAAAAATAGAAATTAAATTCCGAAACTAACCCTATAGAAAATAGTTATGGTCAAAGATGATTCAATTCAAGCGGCAGCGGGAGAGTCGTCTGAAATTAGATTCGCGGCTTGATCATCATCTCTTTCACATCAGTCGTATCTGCTTCACAGTGATTTTGTTCGTGGAATAACGTGCAATCCTCTTTCTCCTTCCGCTTCTCTTCCAAGCTTGCTTTTTTCTTGCAACGTAAAGACCAGGCTGTTCATTTCCCGCGCATAGGAGTTTCAAGTTTCGACATGGCCGAAAAGCATGGGAGAGGGAGACCAGTGTCTCGTAAGATACTTGTAGAGGAAGGTTATGTTGAAAAGGTGACTGGTAAAAAGCCATCGGTGGTTTCTGTTTCACTTTCAGCCGAAGCACAACTAGCTCGGGTTCGGCTAAGGGAACGATGGGAGTTAGCTTCCGTTCTTAACTTCTTGCATGTAACATCTCTGTCTGTCTGTCTGTCTGTCCGTCTCTTTCTCTCTCTCTCTACCTCCCTCTTCTCCTTCTCCTCACTGACGAATTTCATATTTTTTTTGAATGGCTTGATGATCTGTTTCATTACTTTGATGTCTGCTCTGTCCTTATGCAGGTTTTTCAGCCTATTATTGGAAGCAAGTTGGAGATTTCTGCGGAAGAGATCGAGACGGCCCTTATTATGCCCAACAATGCTCTCGCTGAGCTCCACATTTCACTTTTAAAGGCATTATTTAGTTTTATTTTTTCCTCCCTTACTTCATCTTTGATTCTTATATCTATGGTCGTTAATGTGTTTGTTCATCTATATTTTTATCAATATATTCAGTAAAATCTGTGTACTTCTCTTAAAATCTCTCTCAAAGTTAGCGCAAGTCTAAATTTTGTTCCAACAAGTAGGCTTGCTTTAACTGTGGAAGACATTTTGAGTGGGAGGTGATAGTTTGTTTGTTTATCCATGTATATGTCTTGATCAGTTATGTTTTATCAATATAATCAGTACAAACTGTACTGTGTGGTTTTCTTAACATTTCGTTTGAGTTCCCGCAAGACCAAAACTTTTCTCAACAAGTAGGCTTCCTTTAGCCCTGTATCCTGAACACTAGAATGAGTTACATCAATGGCTGGCTAAACACATCTTGTTTATTATTTTACCTTGCTATGATGTTCTATTGGAACTTGGATCTTTATGCCTTCTTTAGAAGATACAAATTTTCGTCTTTGTTGGATTCCTCCTTACCACTTCTACTGGTCTGGTTGGTTTCCCTTGCACATGGCTGAACCATCTCAGTTTAATATTGGCTCGTCACCTGTTAGTGCTACTCCTGTGTTGTTTGGATGCATTTCTTTCTAATTGTTCCTCAGGGTCTTATCTTAATCACACTTATTAACACCAAACAGGCATTATCTTATTAATTTTACGTATATTTTTTGACAAGTGGCAGAAAAAAATTGATTATAAAAGCAAGAATGGAGGTAAAAGCGTTAAGCTGCTTGTGGGGAAAATAAAACCATAATCAAAATGTTAAAAGTGGTGCTGAGATGATACAACAAAACCATAATCAGAACAGCCAAAACATAATCATGACTAACTACCTCAAGGAAGTGAGGAACTGAACCCCATTACAACTCTTCCATGGACGAATAGCCAAATAGAGCTGTGATTGGATTGAATTGAATTTGGATAAGGGTATATCCAAATATGATCTGATATGAATCTGTGAAATCCAAATTTGATCTCAACCCAATTAGATATTTGGATACATGGTTTGATTCAAAGCTCAATAAATCTGTATACAAGTAGCATACTTATACAAAGGTATATATAAAACAAGAAAATATACATTATAAATAGAGAAATAAGTTGTGTAAATCTTATTCATGAAAGAAAGGGTTTGGTTAAAGCCCAAACCTCACTTAATCCTAATGAATTTTAAATTAAAAGTTTAAAAAGAGTCTTTTATACATGCTTACTTATAATAGGATTGGATTGGATTCTAGTAATATGTTAATATCATCTGATCAATAAAAATATTATATTTTATAATACAATCCGATCTTATTATGACTAAAATAGATACCTGAATCTGATACATCGAATGCGAATTTTAGTTCAATTCATTTGCAGCCTATCCACAAAGCATTCACCACTCCTTTTTTTTTGTGACCTTCTTTCCTTTTAGCTTTATAATCTTCAAATTGCATTATATCACTCTTTCATGGAATCTTGTTGGCTTTGTTGAAATGGTGGAATAATCTTGTTCTTTTCATCATAATTTCCTCATTAAGGCTAGTGATTTTAAGGCTAGGTAATTGCTTAATGTGCTCTCCATCTTAAAATCACACTGGACCAATCTCATAGAAATTCCACTCGGTATTATTAGTATGCATCATTGTTACACTCTAAAGTAGTTCTGCATTTATCCACCCAATTCCAATTGTATGGATAAAAGGTCTAACTTTTCTTATGGGTTAAGCTGAAATGATGGAGATGGTATGCTAGTGAAGAACCTACATTAGTTCTGAATATTGTTAACTATATTTATTTGATAATTATCTGTTTTATAATGATACTGACTCCTCTGTATTACTTTTTCTGATGAATGACTGAATTGAGTCCAGATCTGCTTTCCCCAAAACGCTATCCACAGGATGCTACAGATGCACATCTAATGTACGACCCCATGAATGACAACATAACAATGTTTGAGATTTTTGGTTGTAGTGTCTTGTGGGTAGCATGTTAGTAGCAGATCCAGTCTTGACAGAATTGCTTTTATTCTTGGCCATTTCTTTGAATGACATAATCTGGATGATAACCAGGGAATACCACCGGTTAGCAAAAACTTGACTGATTCTGACATGTGGGTGACCGTACTTTGTAAGAAGCTTGCCATCTGGTGGCCATGGGTAGGTTGTTCTAAAACCTTAATGCTATTACCATTTACCATGCATACTTTCTCTTCCCTCTTTTTAGGTAGGGGCATTTGAAAACCTAATAATGCTGTTATACTTTAGGTAGCTGACGGGGAGATTCCACTCACTCCTGCCCATGGGTATGGATAGAGAACTTATCTTTTTTTTTTTAGTCCTTTTAACCCACTTGTCACTTTAGGCTGCAATTTAGAGTCAGACTGGCATTCTGGTGCTTTATATTGTACAGAGAAGAGATATCTAGATACAAAGAGATCGACCCAACAAATCGGTTACTAATCCTAAAAGCACTTTGTGAAATCCGTGCTTTTGTAAGTTAACTATACTTAAAGCACTCTTCCTTTGATAGAAGATCCTGTATATTCTCTTGTGTTTTCAGCATATCCTTTGTCTATTACATAAAATAATTAAAGTTGATGCTTGTTGTTTTTCTTAGGTTAAAAGGCCATAGTGTTTCTTTATTGCTACTGCTAGTTAACCCTTTTATTTATTTGCAGCAAGTTGATATGCTATCTTATATTAATGATGCGGTAAAAGATGGAACCAAGCTTTCAACTTTCCGTAAAGATAAAATTGGAGGAGATGGAAATGGAACTACTTACTGGTAATATTGAGTGTCTTTTGGCTGATTTTTGGATCATAGCAGCATACTCAATGGTGATTATTCCTTGTTATTTGTTAGGTATGATGGGGATTCAGTTATTGGTCATAGGTTATACAAGGAAGTAAGAAGAGTTGAATTTAAGCCGAGCTTGAATGGGAAGAGACAGTTAACACAGCCAACAATAACTTTTCAATGGGAAACACTTGCAACCAATCTTGAGGAATTTCGTGACTTATCAGTAAGGCCATATTGTTTATATATACATATATTCAGGAATGCCATATTATTTAAATGTGCATATATCAAGGAAGATTTGTTCACTTTTTTGTACTCTGGTATTGGCAGGATAAGCTCTGTTCTCCCAAAAGCATGGTGGAAGCTGCAGTTGGTGATATTGTCCGAAATGAAATAATACCTGTTCTTGAGGCACCTAAAAAGGTTATTTTTTAGCATGCTTGCTGCAAAGTATGAATTTTTTGTTGTGATGTCATGAGAAGTGGAACTTAATTTGATTATCACAAGTTGTTGTATTTGTTGTATTTACATTGTCTTGCAACAGAAGAAAGAAAGAGCACTGAAACGACAACAAAGACAGGCAATGCTTCTGAATGGTTTTCTAGATTCTTGTGGGATAGGGCATAGTCATTTGCTTCGTGATCGTAAGCCTGTTAGTTATACGTATGGTATGATCCTTTTTTTTTTCTCCCAATACTTTCCATTGTCTGTTTATTTTCCTCAGATAAGTAAGAGGATATCCTCAGGTGCTTGCTGCACGTAACTGGTCCAATTCTGCAAGATATTCCATGGACCAGCCCAAGTTCCATAACCGACTGATGCAATGCAATTAGGCATTATCCATGTGTTTGTAGGCCTTGCCAAAACCTTTTTTTTTTGGGTGCAAGCTGCTTTCAGACTTGAACCCACATTCTAATGCCTGCCATCCCAAGTTTTTACTATTATAGAAGTGGCATTATGTCTATGAAACATGTATAAGAGCATTTCTGATATGATCAGCTTTGAGTATCCTTATTCCACAAATTTCCACCAGAATGAAGGGTTAGATTTTTACTTGCTTTTGGAAATTGGAAGTGAAGTGAGACACACTTCTCTCTATGGCAGTGATGTTATTTGATTTCCACCTTTGGTTGGCTAGTCTTTGTTTATGTTGAACTCCACTTATATCCTTCTTCTTTGCCTTACTTTCCTTCTTTCTACTTTTTGTTTCTGTGGAAAATCACCACTGAAGTGCATCTCCTCCAATTCTCTTTTGGGTGGTTATGCTGCAGCACCATTTGTCATTACTATTTCAAAACTTTTTTAATGTGTTGCAGTGAAGTACCTATACAGAAAAAGGATATGATCTAGTGATGCACTTTAAGTGGTAAGGCTTGGAATCATGGACATTTACACATAATTATATGTTTGATGGTTAAAAACCTTCTGAAGATTGAATGTTCTACAAATAAGGGAGGAGGCTTGTTATGACAAACATAAGGGTTGGGAGTAGTGTGAAATAAAAATAGAAAACCAAGGAATGAGAAAGAACAAACATACACAATATATTGGTAGTGAACCTACATTCATTGGAGAAGATAATTTGAAAGAGTTTCCACCATCAAAATGTGTGAAGTATAATATTAATCTATGACCTAATACTAATAGTTGTGTAGACAATGCTTCATTGATTGGAAAAGCTATTATTTAACCTAGGAAAATTACAGAGTAGGTTTTTGACCCAATTTGGAATTGATTTTAAGTTTACAAGGATAAAATACCCATATTTGGCTCCAGGGACATGATTATAGCAGTTGGTTTTCTAGTTTTCATTCTTTGGAAGGTGTTTCAATGTTAGGTAGAATTTGAGATGCAAGTGGCCTCATTTATGGCTCTTTTTATATTACCCAACAGTTCAAATGAATAATACTTGAATCAGTATGATGTGCTTGTGCAAATCAATATGGGAAGATGAAAGAAGCTTTAGTTCTGTTTGTGTGCAACTCACAGCAGGGAAGTCATCACTAACTAGTTGGTGCATCATTAGGTTGATGTGAGCACAAACAAGTGAAAACTGGAATATTCTTAACTTTTATCTATCTTTATACTTTTAGATGGTAGGCATATTTTTTTGGCTCTTGATAGAGCACAGGGGCAGGAAAGGGTTCTTGTATCCAACCCCAAATAGTTGAGATTAAGACTGAATTGAATAGTTCAGGAGTATTTTTGTTATTTTACATGCTGTTGGTGAGGTTTGACATAATATTTTGATTTGGCAGTATTGTTACACTTATAATTTCAATAATTAGTTTTGTAATTTCTGTTTTCCTTGGTTCTAGTAGGATTGGTCACCCTATGGTGTCTTATATATGTACCATGCAAAAGCATGGCTATTGATATTTTCAGTGAAATTTTGCTTATTGTTGCTGTACTAAGTGATTCCTGTTAGTCTTAAAGTGATTTTATGCTTCATGTTTACTCTCTCTCTCTCTCTCCTATCTATCTAGTTATGCAAATAACTGTTACAGCCATCAACAACCCACATTTTTTTCATAAAAAAAAAAGTTCACTCAAGATCTCTAAAGTATTTAAAATGATCCAGGTACACTTTTCTTTTGTTTATATCAAATATCAGAATTTTATGTTCCAAAAGCTTTTGTCCTTTTATGTCCAAACTATCTCTATTTGTCCTTGTTCCTTGTTGCCTCTCTTAAGTTTTTGATCCTACCAATTTTCATCCCAAAGCTCCATTTAAGCTTTGGTTTGTGGAATTCTGGTAGATGTAGGTCTTTCATAAAAATTATTTTTCCCATCATTTTTTTATTGTGGAAAACATCCTTAGAGTGCCTTTGAATTAAATTACCCTGCATGACAATTTGTCCTAAACATCTCTATAAAGTTTCAATATAAAATTCCATCCCTACACTTTGTTTTTATTTTTTTTTATTTTTAATATGGTTCCACAGCAATTGCAGTTGCAGGGGTTTGAACCAAAACCTTTCAAACTCCCTTAACCTTTTGTTTAAAATCTTCTGTAAGAGGTTTAATCCTTCGTAACTCATCATTACCCTTCTAATTCATTCTTAGACTTTTTGGTCCTACATCAATTTAGTATTGGAGCTGGTGGTCCGACATTGTTTTGTATCAAATTAGCTGGTCCTACATCACAGGTGGGCTACCTAATGCTGAACCTCTAAATGATAATCAATTTTAGTGGCTAAAAGGATTTATATATGCTGGAAATAGACCAGAAGGCCCTTAACTTGCGTAATTTTGACATTTCTTAAACATAACTAGCATAGGGAGATTAGCATGACAATTTTAGAACAGAATACAAGGGAAAATAGGTCTAAGTTGTGTTGTTTATGGGCTGTAGAAACTAAGGCTCTGTTTGGTTTGTGGGACGAGGATGAGAAATAGGGAATATTCCAAAAAAATTCCTTTTTCTCTTATTTGTTTTGAGGGAAAGAGGGGGATGGGATGAGAAAAAGGTGGGATGCGGGATCCCAAAATTGTGTTATTGGGGTTGCACCAAAACAGTGCGACCCCAGTGGGAAAACTCGAGAAAATCATTCGCTTAAGGAAGGGGATGTGCCTTATTTTTTGATTAATAAGGAAGGGGATGTACCTTCTTCTTCAACACAGGAGTAAGGTGATGAGCCAGTGATGAAGAGTCTCCTTACCATGGACCAGTGGCGATGGCGAACAGTCCCCCTTCCTTTCGACAGCGGCGACAACAGCGACCAGCGACGACGGCAATGAACCAGATACTGTTCATTGCCTTCCCTGTTCGAACAGAGGAGGCGGCGGTGGCACAATCCTTCACCAGTGCGGTGGCAAGAGAACCAGGTCGTGGCGATCTGCTTCTTTCTCTGATCGCCGTTTTCTTCACCCCTTTGAATTTCCCTCTTTCTTTGATCCTACTTTCTCCACACTCCCATCTCTCTTGGTACTTTTCCTACTATTTTCCCATATAAACCAAACAATGAAAAGATAAATTTTACACCATCCCATCTTTTCCCATTCCACCCAAATCTTCCCACAAACCAAACGGAGCCTAAATGACAAACATTATAATGAATAAAGAGAATGTAACCCATAGAATACATTTTGCACCTACTGGGTGCACACTGACTCCTACTCGTTTTAACTTTTAGCACAGTTGATGATAACATTTTGTCAAAAAATAAAACACGGTTAATAATAATGAATAGTTGTACCTGTTTTCAAAACAAGAATATAGTGCTAAAAGGAGAAATAAGAGAGAGAGAGGGGGGATGACTTGGCAATGCAAATCTGGTCTTTCTTTCTAATTTTCCTGTTGCTTTTCGGAAGAAAGTTTTTGTTTATATGTTTTCCATTTTAAATTGGTTGCTCTACAGATGAGTATGACCAATCTATTCATGAAGCTATACAACCAACAATGTGAGTGATTTCCTAACTACTTGCCTTCAACTTTCCTCGCTACTGTTTTTTTCATTGGGGGAGTTTAGTTTTTGTGAGGCACAATATTTTGGTGCCTAATCTTTATTAAATTTCTGTCTCAAATGTGAAATAGAATCAAGAAGACAACTCAGGAGCAAAAGCTTGGCAGAAAATATAAGAAGAGCAAAGGCAGAAGCGGTATTTCTTCTGAGAGTTTACACCAAGATGCTTACTTGGACTACTCTGTTCAAAGAAGTGGTCCTATGAAAAGCAACGATAGTGATGTTAAGTCTGCAGGAACTAATGTTGATGATAAATATGGTGGTGATTATGACAGCAAGACTGCTTCTGGTGCTGATGTTGACTCTGACGGAAGCTCCCATGGAAAGCAAAATAACAATATTACCCACAGGAACCGCATCAGGAAGCATTCCGAGAGATGGAATGGCCTCTCTGCTGAAGAGGTTGTGGGGCTGCGTCGGAGCAAGAGGAAAGCAGGCAACACTACTGATCTTAACTTAGAGACTCAGAGCAATCTAGATCCTATAAATCGGCTGGGTCAGTTGTCCTTCCGTAACACTGCCCTAGAACCTCTTATAATTTCTGATTCTGAAGGTGAAAACTTTTGAGGGAATTTGAGCAAATGAAATGAAGGGTATTGAGAACAATTGATGATGATGATTATTGAGGAAATGTGAATGATAGAAATGATACTTAGCCGAACATATGTATACACATTTGGCATCCTTTTGGTTTCACTTTATTTTGTACTATATGCTGTGTTTGGTTGCAATGCAAATAAATTTGCATTGATGCAAAACGATGGCAGTGCAAAAATGATTTGAGTGTAAATTCTGACTTATTTTTGTTTCAAAATTTATTTTATTGCAGTACAAATGAAGTAAATTAAGATATGAAACAGAATAAATTAAACCAAACGCAGCCATAACAAAGCTAAATCTAACTTATCTATTAAAAAAAAAAAAAAAAGCTAAATCTATTGGTTTCATGGAAGGCAGATATTTTGTTATTGTCTTGTGGTTCCCCAAGGACTAACGGGGTGTTTTCCTAGTGTGAATTGTTTTTTCTTGTTTCTAAGTTACGGAAAAACATACACTTTTGTTCTTTTGAATAGAAATCGCATATTGGAATGGTGTTTCTTTAAACTGCCTAGGAAAAGAATGACTCCAGGATTGGTGTGTCCACCAAAAGGATCATAACACGAAGAAAGGTGCAAGTAGATAGACCTGTTCATGGGTCGGGTTTTGTCTATTTATCAATATAATACATTCAGGCCTGAGCCTGACCTGATTTGACCATCGGGCTTAGGTCTTGAATTCAAACCCGACCCTCATATAATGTCTGAAGCTTGGGCCCGAGCCTGAGCCCGGTTAAAATTTTGAAAACAAAAAATTTTATTTTTTATTCAATAAAAATTTTTTATTTATATTAAAAACCTTCAAAACTCAAAAATAATAAACATCCCACTATTACTTGAAAAAACAAAGAGAAGAATAACAAAGAAAAAATATTGTATATATATTTTTTATTAAATAAAATATATATTTTTATGATTTAATATATAGTATCATGTCTGGCTCAGGTTGGGGTTGGGCTTTTTAGAAAAAGCTTAAGCCCAACCCAAAAAAAAAGTCGGGCCCAATACTTTTGGCCTAGGGTGTAAATGGGTGGATTGAGTAGGGTTGAATATCAACCCACCCATTGACCCACCAACCCACCATGACCCATCATCAATCCTTGTTAAAAGGTCATAACCCACCCTAACCCCAATTCACCCATATTGACCCACTTGGCCCATTTATATTGATTTTTAACCATTCTCACTCATACTAACCCACCTACCCTTACTTATAAATACAAAAATGGGTTGGGATGGTCCGTATATGCAAAATAATAAATTTTGAGAGAATAATCTCTTTCAAGACTACCACGTAACAAAAATGAGTCAGGTCAACCCATATGCCCGAAAATGCAAAAATTGTAGATAAATGCATAAAATTGAAGAAAAATGGCAAAAAAAATCCAAAAAATTATAGATAATACAAAAAGTACCAAAAAATACTAAAAAAATCATAAAATATGCAAAAAAACTATAAAGTTGTAGGAACTGCATGGAAAACACAAAAAAAAAGCAAAAATTATGAAAAAAAGGACAAAAATTTGTAGAAAATGCAAAAAAAATACAAAACAATGCAGAAAATACAAAAAATGCATAACTTTTATAGTGCTTTTGTAAAAGTACTTATACAAAAGTACTTTTATAGTGCTTTTGTAAAAGTACTTATACAAAAGTACTTTTATAAAAGTGCTTTCGTAAAAGTACTTTCACATGCTTTTTTGCTTTCATAAGAGTGCTTTTATAAAAGTACTTTTTGTAAAACATAAAAAAAAATGCATAACCTTTATAAAAGTGCTTTCACATACGTATTTTTATAAAAGTACTTCTACATAAGTACTTTCATAGAAGCACTTTTATAAAAGTATTTTTACGCTTTTATAAAAGTGCTTTTATGCTTTCATAAAAGTGTTTCCGTAAAAGTACTTTATAAAAGTGTTTTCATGTAAAAGTGCTTTCATGTAAAAGTACTTTTATAAAAGTGCTTTTATGCTTTCATAAAAATGTTTTCGTAAAAGTACTTTCATAAAGTACTTTTATAAAAGTACTTCCATGCAAAAATATTTTTATAAAAGTGTTTTCATAAAATTAGTTTATAAAATTGCATGTGAACACAAAAGTTAATAAAATCTACTTTATTTCACTTTTATTTTCAAAATGAAATCTGGCATAATAGTTTGGAAGTGTAATAAGATATTGGCATACTAGGAGGCTTGAGTTCAAATCACTACAACTTCCACTTTTTGAGATTTGGCAAATACAGATATAATTGACTTTGACCCAACCCATCTTGACCCTAATGGGTACCTTCGACCCAACCCACCCTAACCCTTTTCCACTAATCCTAATGGGTTACTTGATCCATATTGACCCACCAATAGATTGGGTGGGTATGGATGAATTCCAAGTAGGTGGATTGGGTTAGTCAAATGGGTTAAGGTCAATATTGGCAGCCCTATTTAGGCTCAAACCCAATCCCGTGGACCTACAATTATGACCAAACACGACTTTTAACGGCCGGGTGATCAGACTACCCGGCCCTGGACAGGTGTAGAAGTAGATGGAAATGAGTGAATATTTGTTGTTGTTGTTGGAGGAAAGGACATTTCAATACTTGGGAGGCTGGGGCTTTTTCGTTTGAGTACTAGGAGGCTTTTTCTTTTGGTGTAAAGTGTATTCTGAGTGGGTCATGTACATTTCATCACTAGATGCCAATCTATAGTTTAGGCCTTTTCAACCATATGAAAGATACGTTCACTTTGGGGCTTGGGGGTGTTCAGTGTGGATGAGATCATGAGTGCCTTTTACATCGGGCTTGTGATTTAATGCATTTCTTTACTGTTGGTGTGGATGCAATGCCAATATTTATTTTCTCAACAAAACATTATAGTCATTTATTGAAGCCCGCACCTCAAGTACGCCATAGAACGAGACTCAAGTTTAATAATCAATGCGCTTTTTGGCAGATTGAAACCCTCATAGAATATCTCCAACTTCGTCAAGGGATGCAATGAAATCTGCTGTCGAAGTAATCTAAACACCAAGTACGTGCATGTCCATCGAGAAGCAGACAGTGCTGTAGATAGGTTGGCAACCTCGGACATCATATAACCAATTCGAGCTCAAATTTCAAGGACTTTAAGTTAGATTTTATTTGCTTGTCCGATGTTTATGACTGTGTAACCAACCGTTTTTGTGCTAAATAACTTCTCTCTCTATATATATTAATCCTGATAATTTGAATGCGATCATTGTGAATTTGTGATTCAGCTATGGAAATTAAACCATTTAGCTTATCCAAATGAATTCAAAACATGTACTCATTTGATTCAATAAATAACTAAACCTATTACAATCTTAAGGTCACGTTTGAAAACGATATATAAATAAGTGTGAATGCAAATATGTAGAGTGTAAAACGGTTTATATATATTGCAAAGTTGGATTAGTTTTACACTGTTAAATTTACTTTCTTACCAATTAGACTTTTAGTTGTAATAGATGCAAACATGAATTCCAATAAAACATATGCTTTCTTTTATCAAAAGCTCAATTGAATGCAAATTTACTTTTTTTTTATATTGATGTATTTTTACTTGTTATCATCAATGTAAATATGTATTGGTCTGTCATTTATCAATGTATAAATGTAATGTTGCCAAACACAGGTAAAAATGAACCATAGTGCGAATTTATCTTAAACCGGGATTTACACTCCATTTGCATTGTTTCCAAATGCAGCATAAGGGACCATTTGATAATGACAGGAATTGCTAAATTGAAGACACATTGCATTGTCTTTTATTCAATAAAATAAGTAAATAATACAAATTTTAAAGGTATAATGATGTAATGTATCCAACTTATGTTTCAGTCATTAAGGAGCCCGCGGCCTCTTTAAAATCTTCTTTTTTTAAAAGATAAAGCAATATGCTTTTCAGTTCAGCATCTTCACCTGTTATTAAACGAATCCTGTTATATACATACAAGATGACCTAAATACCCTTTATTTATTTCTAATAAAATTATAGGGTTTCTTTATTTGATGAAAGGTATTATGATAAAAATTTAATTGGACTTCGTTCAGATTCAGAAATTCAAACTAATTGGTTGAATTTGAATTTAGTTAGCCTTTCTATGGGATATTCAATCCTCTCAGCCAAGTGATGATACGCTTATTTAGAGATTATGGAAACTAAAATGTGGTTCAAAATTTAGGCCCCGTTTGGTTTGTAGAAATAGGGGTTTGGAATTAGAATTGGAATGGACTATTCTGATTCTAACTGTTTGGTTGGATAGGATTGGGATCCAATTATCTTTTTCGTTGGAATGACATCCTCCCATTTGAGGGGATGGCCATTCTCATTTTTACTTGAATGGCATTCCCTTTATTCTAAGAAAACAGTGCTTATTTTTTGTTTGCAAGCAATGCTGCCACATATGCGTTTTTTTGAAAAACAATATATGGTTTTGTTCAGTACTAATGTTGGCAACAACATTTTCAACATTGATCTTATTATTCAACGTCCAAAGATGATGCCACATCATTGCATTATTGGCAACAACACATTGTTTTCTCAGAAAACCTCAAATTTGACGTTGCTTCAGATCACACTTTCCTGATTTCCAAAGCATTTGGAAGCAACATTTTTTATAAGAAACAGTACCAAACAAAAGGGTGATGCTTCCAACACCGTTTTCTTTAATATGGTGCCTACATAACACCATTTTCTCAAAAATGGCACCAATGCCAAACAACGCCTAAGTAAGCATAAAAAGCATTTTTCAAAATCTAAATATCTTTATGTATATATTTTTTTCATATCTTCATCGTTTTATATATATCATACGCACAAGCACGTGCATAGTATACAATAATGCATGTGATACGGAGTTCAAATCAACCCCTTACAAGACTGCCCTCCACAACGTCTCACGGTACATCTCCGCGGTGTATTGAAAACATCTCCCAATGATATATCCAGAATGATATTGTCATCATGAGGAGATATTCTCAGTACACGGCAGAGATATTTCCAATACACGGCAGTTTTGTGGGGGGTTGATTCGGTCTCTGGTCCCAACTCCCAAATTAGACACGGCCCAGTAGGCCAGTAAGGCAGTAACGGTTGGTCTTTTAATTCGTTTTGGAGCACACTGCACAGAGTCCCTCCTTCATAATTTGCATTACAAAGATGCCCTCAATGGCGGGAAACGCGTGCCATGCCGAGCTTTGAAGGCATTCGTTAATTTTTAGGGTTTTTGAAAAGCCATAATTGTTTTTCCTCCAGACGAATTTTTTTTCTCCTGAGAACGTTCACAGTGGAAAACAATGCCAATCTACAAGATCAGGGGGATCGATGTCGATTTTCCGTTCGAGGCGTACGATTGCCAATTGGTTTATATGGAGAAAGTCATACAGTCACTGCAAGATGTAAGTTTTTTCTGGATAAAAAAACGTAATCTACGTTTCCCTTTTGTTTTGTTTTGTTTTTGATTGAAGAAAGGCGTATGAATTTTGTAGTTGGTTGTTCTTAGAGTAACTTGAGGATATTTCTGCTATAAGTGACATAGTTTGAATAGATAACGAATTCGAGAAACTGGCAATAAGAGAGTTTATCCAAATCTAACGTTGAACAGATTACTTCAATTATTTATAAGGTCTCTCTCCCTCTCTCTCTGAAAAGAAAAGAAGTGTACTATATACAATTAGGTGGGGGGGGGGGGGGGGAAGCCAATCTGCTGCCTGGTTAGCTTCTCTGAATATGTGCTGGTACCGAAGACCTCCCTCGAACAGAACTCTCCTCCTCAAGCGGCTAGAGATGACACCTTTCAAATTTCATGGAACTTCCTCCTTTTTGTTGAGGCACGAGATGACCAAGAATGGATCACCCTCAATTATAATAGGATACTCCCTGTAGTTTGTTGTGTGCTAGCGGTTAAAGCATATAAACTTGGCACCTGTACCATCAAGGCATCAACCGTACAAGTGCCAAGTTTATATGCTTTAATCGCTAGCACCCGACTGAGATGGTCATGGACAATACTGCACACAGAACATTTTCCGTCACTGTTATGAGAGGCATCAAAATTTATTTTAATAGTACCAAATTTTGGAGCACTCCAAATAATTGGTTTACACACTTTGCCAATTCGGGCAATGTCTGTATCTTTACTCCCACCAAGAATCTCCATAAACATATTAAGAGCCTGTTCCAAAATAATTGGAATGGGAGTTGAAACATTATTGAAAGTTTTCAAGTTCCTATTTTTCCAGACGGCCCAAAGAAAAATTTTGTTTTCATTTGGGCCCTCCAGAGGAGTGTTTAAGGTAAGCCAAATTTGCTTTGTGTGGGCACAATTCTTAAAATATGATCAGTATCCTCCTCATCCTCACAAAAGCTACAAGAGCCATCGATGTTATCGCCTCTTTCCCTTATATGGCTTTTAGTGGGAAGTCTATTGTTGAGAAGGAAAAAGAGAAAAGTCTTTATCTTTGGGGGGCATTTGATGTTCCAAATATTAACTAGCCAATTAAAGGTACTGTTTGGGTTAAGAACAGAAGAGCACTTCAACAAATAAGTTGTTTTTATAGAGAAAATTCCCTTAGGGTTGCATCCCAAAATAATTTTGTCCTCCATAGAGTTAGGATCAATAAATATTGTCTTAATATCTTGCCAAATTTGGTCAGAGACCACAACCTTTATTTTGTCTTCATTCCAGCATTCTCTTCCAAGATCAATCATGTCCGAGACTTTAATGTTATGATTTGTTGTAGTCTCACAGTTAATGGTTTCAGCTAGAGTTCTATCATAAACCCAATTATCATGCCAAAAGCTAATAGACCTTCCATTTCCTACTTGTCAACAAGTGCCTTTCTTGATGAGATCTCTGGCCAGGAGAATACCCCTCCAGGCCCATGAGATACCCTTTTTAATTTTGCAATTCTAGAAATTTTCCCTCGTTTATTTTCTCTCGATAACTTTCACCCATAGGTTGTCCTCCTCATTTAAGATCCCCCCCTCTCTCTCTGAAATTATGGTTTGGGTCTGGATGCTTAGCAAACAGAGAAGTTGCTCCCTCTTAGCACAGAAAAAGTTTGGACTGTTTTTGGGAACATCGTTAGTTGTTGAATTTCAGCAAATTGATTGAGCATGTCTATTCAGAGGCATTATGGAATCACATAGGAGTTAATTTATATTGGCTTTTATAGCATTTGCAATGCATGAGTTGATTACTTAAAGTGGATTAGTCACACTAATCCCAAGATAAAATAAATGGGAATGAGATTCTTTATTGAAAATTTTAAAATGATATCATATTTTCAAGTTTTTGGCTACATCTACAATAGACTGGTTTTGATAGTAAAGGAAATGATTTAATATCTATATGATTGAAGCATAGTTTTCAAGGCGCCAAGGCGAGGCTAGGCGACTGGGGGGCGCCTTGTTGCCTAGGCGATGGATTTTTTGTGTTAAAAACATAGATCCTAGGGTAGTTCCCTAGGTACCATAACCATATTTCTTTAATAATTATTCATAATTTTCAAAAGAAAAGTATAAAGTTCATATTAAAGTATAGAAAATCAACATACTTATGAGAAGAAAAAGAGGGAAAGTAGAACTCAAAAAATATAGGGGCTGAACCCTTATTTTTGTTATAGGAAAAGAAGAAAATAAAAAGTATTGGTAGTAGTAGTAGAAGAAGAAGAATATATGGAAAAGGAAAATGTGCTGATTAGATAAAATTTTAAGTTCTTCCTTATTGGTTCAGGTTTTTACGTCTTTGAGGGTTCAATACAGCATTTAGCAATGTTTGTATTGATTAAACCCTAATAAATAAGAAAATAATAAAAAGAAATTAGTATATAAACACACAAAATGATTATTTTAGTTTAAGAATGTCTATTTTATAATTATGATATAAAAAAAGAATGAATAAAATAGTATTTTATAGTAGGAAGTAGAAAACTGCTAGGCGATTTGGCGAGGTGAGCCTCAAAGGGCACCTTGTTGCCTAGGCGTCGCCTTGACAACTATGGGTTGAAGATATCTACTATATATTGCCTCACCTCGTGATGATATCCAACTAATTTTCCCCTTATTTTTATTCAGTGTTAGATGTTTTAATGCACACAGTTTCAGTTACATCACTCGCTTTCTTTTCCAAGGTTACCATCTTTTTTATCCTTTTTAAGCTTTACTTTGTGGGAGAAAGCCTGGACATAACCAGTACTAAATGTCTACATCTCAATAGAAGCTTGTATGACTTTTCACCTTTTGGGTGTTTTGCATAATGTTATTAGAAAAATGTATATTTCCCCCTAATTTTCGCAACACTGCTTTACAAATGTAATGTGTTACTGGAGAATCCTTGCGTAATCAGTACTAAATCTCTGTAGAAGTTTAAATGACATACTTTTGGCTGTTTTGCATATTCCATAGCAAAATATAATTTTTTTTTTTTCTATTTTCCTGTTGTTGTTTTAGAAATGTAATGCATTACTGGAGAGTCCTACTGGAACTGGAAAAACCTTGTGTCTTCTGTGTGCTACATTGGCATGGAGGAAAAGTTTGGGTGCTTTCTCCACTGGAAAGTTTGAAGAAAAAGGCCAGATTATGGGAAGCCAACAATCAGATATTTCATCATCACAGTCTGCAGCAACAAAGCTCCCAACTATAGTATACACTTCACGCACTCACAGTCAACTCCAACAAGTGATTCAAGAGTTAAAAAGAACTAATTACAGGTTATAATTGATTGATGGATTAAAAAATCTATCTGCCATTAAGGTTTTGTTTATTCTTGTTATTTTCTCAAGAAAAAAGTTTCATTTTGACTGTTTTGAAAACTGAACTAGAGATTGAACCAGAAAACTATCCTGTTCCCAATTCTCTTGGTATGATTATCCTGATTATCAAAACTGTTTGGAAACCCGGAAACAAGAGCTTGGCCTGTTTCCAAATTTCCTGGTTCAACCATGTGGTCTGATCTGGTTTTCAAAACATTCCTTTCTCATGATGTGGTTGTTTTATACACACCCATTTGGATTTGTGTTTTTCTTATGGTGGATAAGCTCTTATGTCATTTAGTGGAAAATGACCTTTAAAGGAATTTTGTTCACCCTGACGGGAAGTACATTTAGCATCCCCATAGTCCCTAAAATCCAAACCGTGGATAATCTTAACTTCTATAATCTGTTTAATTTAATACTGAGCTAGGTTAGCATAAAAAAACATTTTTGTTCAACATTCATCTAGTATCAATCCTTGAACTTGTTGGGTTCCCCAAGGAACAAAACTAAAGATTGAGGTTAATTGCATTCTCTCAAGAAGGAGACTAGGGGTGCAAATGGTGTGCATCTGCCCAAATCCTAATCCAATCTGATTAAAGGTTATCCAAAATATCAATGTTTTAAAACGTGGAGGCATGACGCGAGGCATTTCACTACTTGGAGGTGTGAGGCGTAAGCCTTCCAAACACAAGGAGGTGTTACCCTCCTTAAGAGGAGGGTGACGAGGAGGAAGAAGAATGAGAAGGGGGGAGGAGGAAGAAGAGGAAGGAGGATCTCATTTTTCTTTATTTTTAATAAAAACCTTATATATATAAATTACAATTTTACCACCCACGTGATGGGTGGAACATCTGAACAAGAACCTTACAAACAAGCCCAAAACAAAGCCTCCCTAGTAACTCCTTGTTTAGCTAAAGTGTCAGCCATTCCATTTGTTGACCTCCTTACCCATTTAAAATGCACCCCAATCTCCCTTGCTAAGCTAATATAAAAAACTTTTATATTAAGAAGAATGAATACGCACAATACTAGCTGAGCGTATCAACACCTCTGGTATATGCCTCAAAATGTTTTGAGGGCGCCTCCAGGTGTATGCCTTGCACACCTTTTAAAACACTGATCCAAATTTGATGTAGTTATAATTGGATTGGATATGGATCCACCCCTATCCATTATGATGTATCTCCTATCCAAATAGTATTTAAATATGTTTTTATATACATACAAAATTTATATGTATCTATCACTGAAGTTGGTTGTCATGTCTCATTGAAGTTATTTTCTATTCATTTGATTGACAATACACAACATCAAAGTCACTTTTAGTTCATTTTATTAATAATATATAATGTTTTGATCATCTTTAGTTCAATTTATAAATGGAATACAATATCTCAAATTAATAACATATAATATTTTTGTCACCTATTGGAGCTATTCCTAGGTTCCTTTGAATCACTTCATTTTTGACCCTGTCCTTTGTAGTTTTACTACTCATCCATCTTGGTATTTGCATTTATTTCACACTCATGTTCTGGACATATCATGTTAGCTTTATTATTGTTACTTCTTAAGTGGAAATTTTGTTGTTTAAGAGCCTATTTGCAAAAACTAAGTCTTTAAGTATTTGAAAGGTCTTTGTTTTTGCTTATTTTATAAGTTAATAGACCATTACTAGTATACAAACAACACTAAAAAGGAGTTTAGAAGTTGATGAACCACTACAAAGGTCTAAGACACGAAAGAATCCACAAATAAAAGACAATTTTAAGAAGGCATGAACCTGGATGAGGTGCAAGGCAAACCAGGCATGTGCCTTTGGATGGGGCTGTGCCTGTGTTTAGGCAAGGTGCATACCCTGAAATGCGCTTCTGAGCCTAGGCATTCCTATTAAAACACTGGTCTAAACTTCATTCTTTGTCACTTATGATCCTAAAATATATCATACAGTGAACTTAGATTGCCAAGTCAACAGCAATTTTACTTTGAAATATTATGATTTCATAGAGCATTGGCTATTATATTTCATTGGTGACTTTTGGTTGATTACTGTTTAGTCCAGGTTTTCTGTTTGGGATGGCTATGGAAGTGTTATACTTTGCAAATTATCGAAAAAAAGTGTTATGCTTTGCATTTGTGGGTTGATGTCTGATTGTTGAAATTGATGTAGATGCTTAGTCTAGAGTTTTTTTTTTTTGATATTTAAACTATTTATTATTTACAGGCCCAAAATGGTAGTATTAGGGTCTCGGGAACAATTGTGCATTCATGATGATGTGCAGCTACTTCGTGGGAGAGCGCAAACCAATGCCTGCCATTCCCTTTGTAGAAAGGACAGTAAACGCCGTTGTTCCTATTATGCTCGTGTTGGAGGTACTCCTGTTCATGTGCCATGCAGATTTGGTTAAAGTTAAAAATTTTATTGCATGCTATTATGTTTCTTTTGATGTTTTCTGATGTGTCTGTTTTGCTGATCTTAGTAAATTCAACCATTTATAATTTTCTGGATCTGCCTTGTTATCAATAAGGTGATCTATTTGCATCTGTCTATTCTATGGCAGAAGATCAATGGATAACCATTTCCCCTCTCTGTTCCACTTGGATTTCCACTCATAGGGGCCAATGCCAAATGAAACTATCATGAGTAATTATCCCTGATTATTTTAAATGTTTGGAGTGGAATGTCAATATGGTGAGAAGGAGAATATTAGGGGGGGGGGCTGGCTTGATGCTTAAGCAGCCTAATAAGAATCTAATTCAGGTTTGCATCATTAGGATCAACTGTGGGCTGAATTAGAAGGGTTCATTTCCTTAACTGGTGGGACTACTCCCAAAAGACAAGGCCTACTCAAAAGATATGGTAGGCCTGACTAGTTGAATTGGACTTGGGATTCTGGGCTGTACTTGCATGGAATAATGGAATATAGTTTCTGTAATATAGTTCTGTCAGATTGGCTTCCTTTGTAACACATGCCTGTTATAGATTTAATTTGTCTTTGGGAAGAACCTTAGATAAATGGAATTGCAAGATAAGATTCATGTACTTTCTTCAATCAATTTTGCTAGCAAAGGCTGCTACTTTTACGTTTTTAGAAAGCTTATGACATAAAATTATTTGAGTTCTGTATGTGTCATTTTTATGATCCTTGGATACATATGTTATTCTGTATGTGCATGTTTCTTTTATGAACTTTGGATGCATATGCTATTTTTTTATAGAGTTCGTGAAGAAAAATCCCAGTCTTGGAGATGATCCTATCGACATAGAGGACTTGGTCAACATTGGAAGAACCCAGGGGCCGTAAGTTTTATCAATGTCCTTGTTACCTTGTTTATTGAAAAGTTAATAACTAGTTGTTATGTAAGTAGTTGTCCTAGATTGGGTTCCATATGCATTGCAGTTATACTCTGCTTGTGTACTCTAATCAAATATCAACCTCCCTTCAGGTGCCCCTATTATATATCACGAGATCTCCATAAGGTTGTTGATATTTTATTTGCTCCATACAACTATCTTATTGATCGTGGGAATCGGGAAACCCTAACTATTGAGTGGAAGAACAGTATACTCATATTTGATGAAGCTCACAATCTGGTAGAAACAGTTCCTTTATCTTTTTTTTTCCTGCATTGTAATTGGGGCCTAGTGGAAGTTCTAAAATATTTTTCTAGTCTTAATGAAACTGACCTTTATGTGAACCTTTCTTTTGCAGTTTTTGTGTGTGTGTGGGGGGGGGGAGGATATTTGTTTTAACACGAACTATTGGTTCTTTGAGCTGTAGGCTTCTTTCCTTTTCTTGTTCATCCTCAGAATAAAGGGCATGATTTGTCTGTTGAAATTTAAGCTCCACAAGCCTTCATGTTTTGATGATATTTAGGTTACTTCTAAAATATGGACGACTGTCTTTTGAAATGCAGGAAAGCATATGTGCAGATGCAGCGTCTTTTGATTTGCCCTCTGGACTTTTGTCTGCTTGCATAACTGAAGCAAAGAACTCTATTGACCTAGCTGTTAGTAAGAGGGCAACTGAAAAATCAAATGATAAGTTGTTTAAGCCAGATAATTTTGCTATTCTTAAAGGTGATCAATTAGTTATTCTCTACTAGATGGTAAATGTATTTTAAGCTACTATGTCTTGCTAATGTAAATTTTTATATGATGCTTTATCACTATTCCCTTGTTATGCACAAGTTAGATGAATAGTTGCTTGATTGCCATGATGTTCTGATAGATTTCCAAGGCAAGACTTATGATTTTAGTCATTCTGTGCTATGTACATTTACGTTTCTATGTAGGCAGATATTGTCTGGATTAAATTTGAAAGAATGATCTGAGTAGGATTTACTCTTTTCTCAAAATCTATAGTAAAGTTAAATTCCCCCTATTAAATAAAGACATTGCAATGCCTATCGTAGTGATTCAACATAAAGCATCATTTGTATATACAAGGCTGTGTGTAAGCACGATATACTATTTTTTGTCTTTATTGATAGTTTGCTAACAGTATTGTGAACTTTTGTTCCATTATTGTTGATACTATTATTCTGGAACTACATAATGCCTAGTCATGCTTATGTCTTAGAGCAAATTGTTGCAGCTCTTCTACTAAAGCTTGAGAAGCATATTGCTGAAGTGCCTATTGATCCCAAGGAATTGGGTTTTACCCGACCAGGGCCTTACATCTATGAATTCCTTGCTGAGTTAAACATCACACATGAAACTGCCAGTATGCTCATTGAAACAATTGATCAGGCTGCAGAGCTGATTAATGATGGTAGGTCTTGGAGTTGTCGCTGCTTCAATATTCCCGGTGTTTACCCTTGTCTAGAATTCACTGTAACTGTAGTTAACTGTTAAATGCCTTCTTAGTTATACTGGAAGTTCAGTTTCCTCATTTGTAGGAATTAATTATTCTTGAATCCTGAGATAGCATAATGGACAGTGGTTCTCATATTTTCAGATGCAAATATGACTGAAAGTAGAGCTCCGTACAAGACAAAAGGCACTATATGTAGGCTCGAAAGTATAAGTGATATTCTTAAGATAATCTTTAGAAATGGGGATAAAGCTCATGCAAAATACTACCAAGTAAGTTGGGACTCTGTGAATCATAGAAACTGGTATAATTACCGCTAGGAACTTTGCCAATTATCTGCTTTGCATGTTATCATTGGCAACTTTAATGTCCATCTATGTTCTCTCCAGGCCATGAAATCATCTTCAGTGAGTGATACTAATCTTGACTTTCTTTGTTTTTATTTGGCTGTTGTAAGGTTCATGTGCAGGAAATAGAAGCAAATGCTATAGACACCCTTAAAGGTATTAAGGACAAAATTTTCCTGATCTTAAACTGACAGTCTATGGTGTTGAGATTGGTGTGCAGTTTGACATTCTATATCTTATGTAGTTAATACAGTCCTTAGAGTTGTCAATTGATTGCAAGAAATACTATCCAAATTCTGTTTGGCCGAAATGCTTTGTTTAGTTCATTTTTTATTATAGTTCTCCACTTTTGCTAAAAGGTAGTATCATCCTATTCTTACCAGAAGATATTTCAGTTATTGTGGCCACTAATCTAAAAGTAAATAATAACTGCATACAGGGTAAATTAAACAAGTTTATTGTAGTTTTTGTTATGCCATTTCTTTTCATAATTTGCATATCTAAAAATATGAGTAGTTACAGCGATTAAATTTTTAATAAAATAAATCATGTTTAATTAGGAATGTTTTTATTTATTTTTCACTAGGAATTACAGATGCGCTTTAGTGCTGCTTCCACCCCCTCTCACCCAGGGGTGGGGGAGGGAGGAGGGGGGACATTTATTTCTCCTTATATTGATTGGTACTTTTTTATTGGTTTTGATGCTTACAGGTAAGACATCTAGGATGCTCAGTTGGTGGTGTTTCAACCCAGGAATTGCCATGGGAGAGTTTAGGAGCCTGGGTGTTGGTTCTATCATTTTGACGTCTGGCACCTTATCTCCTTTGGATTCATTTGCACAGGAGCTGAAATTGTAAGTCATTATTCTATAATGAACTAAGAGCTCCCAATGTTTGACATTCTAGTTCTCTGGATTGCCCATCACTGGAGATCACCTTATTTGCTGTCTCAGGGAATTTCCTGTTCGGTTGGAAAATCCTCATGTTATATCTTCAAATCAAATCTGGGCTGGAATTGTACCAAATGGTCCATCTGGTTGCGCTTTCAATTCCTCTTATCGAAATCGTGATTCTCTAGATTACAAGCAAGAATTAGGGAATGCCATTGGTATGTACAAGATACCATTAAAATGCATGAGTTATGTGGACTTAATTTTATTTTTTTATTCTACAAGGAACTATTTTAGAAACCATGTTGACTTTTTTCCTGCAGTTAATTTTGCTAGAATTGTACCTGATGGACTACTGGTTTTCTTTCCATCTTATCATGCTTTGGACCAATGCATTGCATGTTGGAAGAATGTGGTGAGACATCAATTAAGATTGAAATAGATCTGATGTTTGTTTATGGCTATCTCTTAATAAAGCATGTTTTATTTGTTACAGAGTCATTTAAACTCAAATTCAAGCACAATCTGGGGAAGGATCTGCAAACATAAGCAACCTGTTGTAGAGCCTAAACAATCTTCCCTTTTCGCTTCCTCGATTGAGGTTAGTAATTTATACTCCTTAATATATGGATGTTTTGTTAATTGTTCCTCTTATTTTCTTCTTCCTATATAGTATAAAATGTTTTACAGTCTTCATGACTTGATGGGCTGGTTGAAATGGGATTCTGTTGTAGGATTTTATGGCTAAGTTGAAGGACACCTCAACTTCTGGTGCAATCTTTTTTGCTGTTTGTCGTGGCAAGGTATGAGACCAATGGATTAATCCTGGAAATTGCAACATCATTTTCTTTTCTTGTGCCAATATTCTGGAAGGATTATTGTGTTTGTCTTTAACTGATGAAGTTTCTGAATTCTGAAGATGAAACATATAGAAGGCCTATGAGGTGCTTGTTGTAGGGGATTAGACTACCAAATACCTAGGATAATGTAAACTAACTATGGCTGCATTTGGCAAGTCATTTTAAAAAGCTCTCTCAAAATCTCAGCCAGATCAAAAGACCTACTGATCTTTTGGAGCTAGTCTTTGATGATCAAGACCCTTTGGTAACATTTTCCTTTGAGAGATATTCTTGAAAGACAAAAAGACAGGACTATTTGATAAGTTTTGTCTCGAAATAATATGTTCATAGGACACATGTGGGTCCCATTAATACCTATACAAGTGAAAAATGGCACATGGGCCTACAAAAATATTTATTTATTTTTATTACTTATTAACTTAAATGCCATATTTGTAATTTTTAATTATTTCATACCTATAACTTTTAGTTATTGCATTTTACTTATTATTATTATTTATTTTTGTGATAGTAAAATGAAATTTCATTAAATAAGCAAAAGCTTACCGTTTAGCAGGTGATAAGGCATCACCCACAAGCAAAACAACAGAAAAGAACTGTTAGGGAGCAAAATCAAAATAAATTATTCAAGTTACAAAATTGAAATCCCAGAATATCTCTCAACTTGTTCCCCAAATCCTCCTAGAAACTTGATTAAATTGTGTAGATAACAGAACCCAGTCTGCAACTAAATTGCTGACAGCTGCTACAGTCTTGTCCAGATTCCGATATTTGTCTTAAAAAATTCTTCTATTTCTGTCCTTCCATTCCATATGTTCCACCATATTGCAAATGGTATACAGCTCCAGAGCATTCTTGCTTTCTTGCTTCCTCTTAACCTCGACCATGTAGAAAGAATTTCTGCAGCTGTTTCTGGCTGAAAGTTTGTTAACCCAAACATAGTAGTGAATATCTTTTTTTTTTTTTTGTGATCAGTAACATAGTAGTGAGAATCGTCCACAAGAAACTAGAAATCTTGCATGAGAAGAAAAGATGAGCAACAGTTTCCTCCTGTTCTTTACAGAGGAAACACATGTTAGCCATGCTGAAGCCCCTAGATTTAGATGATCAACAGTCAATATGCTGTCCAAGGCCACAAGCCAAGCAAACGCTTAAATCCTTGGAGGAATCAGATTTCCCCATACACCATCTACCTGTTTTGGATCTGAATTATCCCTGAGTTGAGCCATGTAGCATGACTTAACAGAGGACTTCCCATTTGAGCACTCTTTCCACCAAAGTTCATCTCTTGACTGAGTTGAGATCTTCACTTCCTCTAGTTTCTCCAGTAGAGATATGCATCCGTCCACTTCTCTGTCCAGCAAAGGCCTTCTAAACTTTGGACACCATATCAGCTGTTCACCCCTCCTTTCATAACAGTGATTTATAGAAACTTCAGCCTCAGTTAACCTATACAACCTTGGACATAGATCACACAGCTTTCCTACCCTGCACCAAACATCCTCCCAAGACCTGATTCTTGCTCCAACTCCAACTGAGAAGCTTGTTAGACATCTGAACTCCTGGTTGAACTTCATGATCCCCTTCCATAAACTCACCCCATATGAAGACCTCACCTCCCTGGATTCCCACCCCAACCTCATCATCCCATACTTACCCATTACCACTCTTCTCCATAATGAGTTTCCTCCCTCCCTAAACCAAATCTCCATAACCATTTCCCTACCAGGGCCTTGTTAAAAATCTTCACTCTCCTAAAATCCAACCCGCCCTTCTCCTTTGGTCTACAAACTCTCCCCCAATTTATAATAGTTTTCATTATTAAGTGAAAGGGCATCCCAGTGCATGAGGTTCCCGTCAATGCGGGGTTTGGGGAGGAACAGATGTACCCTATAGATACACAAAGAGGCTGTTTCCAAGATTTAAACCCTAGTCACCTAGGTTGCAATTGGAGCAACCCAACCGTAGCGCCAAGGCCCACCCTCAGTAGTATTAGTTATTAATATTAATTATAATAATATTGTAACAATGTTACAATAATTTGTAAAATTGTAGCAACTCATGACACGTGTGCTAGGAAGCTGAAGAAGGTTCTTGAAAGCTTGAAAACCAGGAAGCATCATTTCAAGCTTCTTTATTTTAGGTTTTTTGGTCTTCTGACCCATCCAAAAGACTTGCTGAGCACAACTTTTTTTGGTAGGTAAAAGGTTCTTGAAAGCTTGAAAACCAGGAAGCATCATTTCAAGCTTCATTATTTTAGGTCTTTTGGTCTTCTGACCCATCCAACAGACTTGCTGAGCACAGCTTTTTATTTTGGTAGGTAATGATGGAAGTGTATTGATTGTGACAAAAAATGATAATTACAAGGAAGAGTGGAATTTCCTATTAGGCTAGCCTTTCTACCTAATTCTATTTAATAATTGCCTTTTACCTGTAATACTAATTAATTATCCCCAAAACAATTGTTCCCTGTTGACCCCTTATCTTGCAAGTAAATCAGTCAATCCATTTGCTGGTCTCAGAGTCCATTGCCATGTCACTACTAGGTCTCTGTGAAGGTCATTGGTTTCCTTCAATGTATGTTAATGTTGCGATATTCTAGTATTGCCATTCTTTAGCCACCTTAAGATTGTTTTTGCATCCTCTTTGACCGTTATATTTTCCATGTTCAAACTCTAGCTGATCTTTTATCCTTGGTGGATAGAAGGTGGTTTTGCCCTTGTAGAGAGTCTCACTTTTAGTAGGCTTAATAAGTAGAACTATCGAACCTGAATTGTCTCTAAAAATTCCCCTTATTCTTGAAGCACTTGGGTGGTTGGGTTTCCAAGACTACACACATCAAAATTGAGATTGATTTTTCTGTTATTGATAAAAAAATTGAGATTGATTTTTCTGTTATTGATAAAAAAATTGAGATTGATTTAGGCATAGGAGAATATGTCTCCACTCCTTTGAAATGCTGACCCTAGAAGTAAAGGAATTTGCTTTGATCTGCCACCTCTAAACTCTAATTATATCATCCTTAGAGAAAGGTGTGAAGTTTGCTTGAGCCTTAGTCCAATTCATCGCCCTAATCAAAACGTTTTCAATGACCACCTCTTTGGGTTTCTCTTGTTGTTTAATATTTCTGCATTCTACTCCTCCCAAAGTGACTAAATAGCTGCTCTTGTACAGATACACAATTTCCTCTTATTCTTCTAGGATTGAAAAATGAGGTTTTGAAGAGGCTTTCCATACCTCCAGGTGGGGATCACTTGTAAGTTGTAACCAGAGAGAGAACAAAACCAATCCTAGATGCATGATGCAAAATTGTAGGAGATTATTAGATGAAATGTAGATACCCCACTTGCATCACAAAGTCACAAAGAAAGCATTTATGTGATGAGATATAACAATTAGGTCTCCTCTACAGATTCACAAGAGTTGATCTTCAAGACAAGAGTTGATCTTCAAGTGGTATGCTTAGCATCTTTCCATAGGAGATCTACATTTAGCTATTGCCAGTGTTTTAAAAGGTGTGGGAGGCATATGCCTAGAAGCGGCCTCAAAACGCCCCGAGGCACATGCTGGAGGCATTGATGCTCATGTGTCTCAAATGCCTTTTGCATGAGGTGTATGCCTCTAATATGCATCATGCACCTCATGCATGCCTCATATAAAAAGAAAGAAAAAGAAAGTAAAAGGGAAGGGAAGTCTGAGCCGGGCGATCCGCTTCAGCTAGCATTGTGCATTCTCAGTCTTCTTAATATGTCACCTTTTATCAAAAAGAAACAAGAAAAACAGGAACCCCTCCTTCTCCTCCTCCTCCTCTTCCTCTTGGGGCTCACGCTTCCTTGTGCTTGGGAGCCTTATTCCTCTTGCATTCTGAATTACACTTCGTGCCTCCTAGTAGTGGAATGCCTTGTGTCACACCTCTGTGTTCTAAAACATTGGCTACTGCATCTCATTTGGAAGAAATTAGTCACTTGGAGGAGCAAAAAGCAATTTGATATGGCTGGATCCAGTATAGAAGTTGAGTACAGAGCAATGGCTCACAGACTATATGAACTACTTAGGGTCAAGTGAATTTTGGTTGATTTGGGGGTGTGTGTAGATAAGCTTATGTACTTGTACTATGATAAAAAAGCTGCCATTAATATCACTCATAGTCATATCCAACATGATTGTACTGACTACAAGCAAGCACATTAGATCAACATTTCTTCAAGGAGAAGGTTAAAGGACAAGCAATTTGCTTATTTCTGCCTATGAGTAACCAGCTGGCAGATTTCTTGACAAAAAGAGTTGTGAAGTCCAAGCTAGTTGAGCCTGATAGACATCTATGCTCTACTTGAAGGGGGATTGTACACAGAAACTCAATGTAATATTTCTTTTTTTTGGATCAGCAATAAGAACTGAAAATTTTATTAAGATGTACTAAATCTTGATATTACAATATGCCAGATCTATCCCCGCAAGTTACATATGTTACAATTGTGCCCAAAACGATTGTTGCATATATACCCCTTATTTTGCTAGAGTATCAATCATCCCATTTGCAGTCCTTCTTACCCAATTGAATATAATGTTCAACTCCTGTGTTATGCTTTATATTTCAGTAAACTCATGCCTATGGATCCATGGCATGAGCTGTTTATTCTTTGCTCAAGAAATGATTATCTTTGAATCTCCCTCTACTCCCAACTGCTGAAAATTTGATTGCTTAGTTAGTCTTATGCCTTGCAATAGTGCCATCAGTTCTGCCTTTAGTGAGTCTCCCAACCCCAAGGGACCTGAAAACATAGCCAATACTTTCCTTGTGCAGTCTCTAAAAGCTCCTCCAATACCTGCCATTCTAGTGCTTCTCATGGAACTCCCATCAAAGTTCAGTTTTATTTTATTAGCTGCTGGAGGTGACCATACCATAACCCTCTTTTTCTTTTTTCTTGAGGAGGCTGCCACTT